AAATTATACACACGTAGCCGGATCAAGGTGCGGGGTGAAATTCTTTAGATGCCGGATCAAGGATTTAGAGATACCTAACTTATCACTTTGCATGTAATACACTAGGAAAGAATTGTTGTTACTAGAATTACTGCGTTATGAGCTTGCGGTGAACACAGATACCCTAGCTAATTCTCTCATCTTGATAAAAAACCGAAATTAACTTTTGTTTATTGATTACTTACTGAACTCTTACAATTTGTTTCACAAATCCCCCATTTTATTTCTTGTTTCTGGAAGTACTTTGGCTAATTGAATATAATTGTTGGTTAAAGTAAAATCTAAACCATTTTCCTCGTGGGATCGACCCTAACCTACAAGTTGGGTTCTTTACTTTATAACGATCGTTTATACTTCTTTAGGGAGGTATAATTTGAGCGTATCAATAATCTATAGATACAAAATTACAATACATGCGGGTCGTTTACCACTAATGTATCATGACTTACATATTCACATCAAAACGACAAAACAAAACTATAAAAATGATACATTAAAAAAAACTATATACCAATGGTGGTGAGAGCAGAGGGAATGGTGGAGTAAGTGGTTGAACGGCCGGAGATGGATAAGAAGATAATACAAAAGATAATTCCTTTGTCGGATAAGAAGCTAATCAATTAATGATACCAACACCATATGGAAAATCATTGTTTCTTCTTATATATCTATATCCCTCCATTCCCCATGTTGTACCCATGAGTTCTTGATTATCCTCGCAAGGTATCCTTCCCGAGAAGAATTTCCACACAACAACGGTAAATTCAATGGTTGGTATTGAATTACAGAGCATTATTTGTGTACCAACAAACCAGATGAAGAAACCATAATAATCGGGGTGCGGGCAAATCTATAAATCCCATTCGTAACCAACTGAAGATTTTCCTCATGATAAACCTTTATTAGATGAGTGAAGGCTTGTCCTGCTGTCACAATTGCCAACTTCCTAATGAAGGGCAATTCCTCTTGTGGAACTTTTACGATTTAGAATTGATGGAGAAGATGAAAATCTAAATTTTGAATTTTGTGAAGCTGTTACAGATTGGAGTGGATTGATATCAATTAGATCTGCGTGATTTATGGGAAAGAAAATCAATTTTATGTTAATATCCATATTAAAACAAACAAGTTTTATAATGTATTCGGATGAAACTTATGTATCTGGATGGCCGATATTTTAAGGAATTTTTGTAAAATAGAAAAAAATAGGGACAAGATGTAATTTAGGTCTTACACTATGAGATTTATATACGTTATATTAGAGTACAGATTGAAGCCCATAGCTAAGCATAATTACTAAAGATAGGATTTTTCGAGGCATTCTATTAACATAATTAAAAGGTATAATTCATATATATATATATATATATGTAATTATTTTATTGTTTACATAAAAAATAGCCAAAAGTAATAAAAAGTATACACTATTTATACAGTATAGCTTACTTATACATTAGGTTTACACCAACTATACATTATGATACACACAAAAAACTAAATATAGCTTAAGTTTACATGAAGTAAGCATGTTAAATAGGTTGGGCCAGGTAAGACTAGCCCATTAGAAATTAAACTAGTCTCTGATATTGGGCTAGGTCGGGTCACCTATAATTGGGTTGGTCTGGTATGGGCTCAATAGTGCAAAACCCCTTGTCCAGTGCAACCCACAACCGGTTAGCCTAATTTTTCTGAGCCAGCCCAGGTTTTAGCCCCGTGGGCTTAATAGGACTGGTCATTTATTTTTGGAAAAATTACTTGGATGGGTACCTTTTAATAAATAATTACTGATTTTAGCGACATTTTTTATTTATTACCATTTTTTAGCAATACTATGTTAAATCTGCAATATGTATTAAAAGTGAATTATGTATGCAATATATATGTATTATAATTGTTTTTAAAATATATTATGCTTGTTTGGTAAGAAATTGACACATTGTATTATAGGTGTATTAAAATATGTGATAAATGTATTATCCATCAATAAACTTGTATTTATATGTGAATAATAAATTGTTCTTTGTAATATATATTAAAGTTGTATTATAGATGTATTAAAAGTGATCAAATAAGAAAAAAATGTTATTGCTATAAATGGTAAATATGTTTTTAATGTTTTATATTTATGTAAGTTTCCCATTATTTTAAAAAAATAAAATTACCATCGTTTATCAACTTGAAAGTTTGAGTCAATCATCAATATAGTGTATCAATATAGTGTTGTTAACTATTTAATTTTGAAATAATTATAACTATTTATAATAATAGAGTACTTACATTATATTATATACATACTTACAATGTATACCAAATCCACCCACAATATACTATCTATTATGATAGAAGGGGACTTTCGCATATAGTCACTCAAAAATAGTTTAATTACACTCTATAACTACAGTTTGCTAATTATGATTCGTAGCTACATATTATAGGGAGGAGATTAGCAAGCGAGAGAGGTGAATTGTATATGTATATCGGTTAGATAACTTACAATGTATATTCTTATAGTGTATACAAAATACACACAAATGACACAATATACTTGCAATGAATATCAAATATACCTCAATATACGTGAGAAAGTTGGACTCCTACCCATCATAAGAAGTAGTGTAGGTGTAGGATTAATGAAAAGAGGAAGTTGAAGAAGGCTACTGCTTGGGCATTATGTCCAGGGTAGCAGCTTTGCTTAGATGAGTATTTGTAACTTGTCACATGGTAAATAAAATAAATTTACTTTAAAAAAAAATATACCTCAATATACTATCTGATAATAATAGATGTGGATTTTACACAAATCTCATGGTGTTAGAAGCTAATTACACCTTATCTCTTCTTCTTTTTTTCCAAATTACAAAAATTTCTTAAATTTGGTGGAATCCAAATGCATCTCAAAACGATTCGGTACATCGCGTCTTGGTTTCAGATACATCACTCAACGTCCCGATACATTACGTTTCGCTTTTGGATACATCATTGAATGTCCTGATACATCGCGTAAAGTGATGTTTCTGACCAATACATTGTGTTAAGTGATGTATCTGATACATCGTGTAAAATGATGTATCCAATCGACCGATATATCGCGCAAAATGATGTATACGATCGATACATCGCGTAAAATAATATATCCGAGAATATGAGATAGTACAAATTTTTGTATTTTTTTCAAATGGTAGAGATTTTTAGAGAATATGATAAAATAAGTTGTGTGTTTAGTGTGTGTGTATATATATATATATATACAATGTATACAAAATATACATTGTGGATGTGGATTTTACACAAATCTCATGCTGTTAGAAGCTAATTACACTTTATCTCTTCTTTTTTTTTCCAAATTAAAAATATTCCTTAAATTTGGTGGAACAAGATACATCTCAAAACGATTCAGTACATCGCGTTTTGGTTTCGGATACATCACTTAATGTCCCAATACATCACATTTCGGTTTTGGATACATCATTGAATGTCCTGATACATCGCGTAAAGTGATGTTTCTGACCAATACATCGTGTTAAGTGATGTATCTGATACATCGTGTAAAATGATGTATCCAATCGACCGATAAATCGCGCAAAATGATGTATACGATCGATACATCGCGTAAAATAATATATCCGAGAGTATGAGATAGTACAAATTTTTATAATTTTTTCAAATGGTAGAGATTTTTATAGAATATGATAAAATAAGTTGTGTGTTTAGTGTGTGTATATATATATATATTTACAATGTATACAAAATATACACACAGTTTATCATATTTAATATTTATTGATTCTTCCTAAAATATAAATTTAATTGACCTTACCGAAGACTATTATCTCATAAAACTTTCCAAACCTGAAAACTATGAAAAGATACTACACCAATTAAGGACCCTGGTTTTTAGGATCGCAATTCATATCTATCAGGAAATGGGAACCAAAATTCAACCCGTCAATGATCCAAATAGACTTTTCAACAGTATGGGTAAGACTTCCGGAACTTCCGACAGAATTCTACGACCTCAAAATTATCCAACAAATAGAAAACCAAATAGGAACAACCCTCAAAATAGATATCGTTACAATAAACACAATTAAAGGAAGATATGCCAGACTTTGTATCCTAGCTCCATTATCCAAAACACTCTCAATCGACATATTAATAGGCACACACCTCCAAAAATAAAAAAAATAAATATGAACTGTCTACCCCCTTATGGTGATGTGGCAAACTTGGACACTTAGTACACTCATTCCCAAATAAACCAAACAATATCCCATCCACTTCTTGAAGCACTAAGCTACCAAATTATTCAATGCCAAAAGAGAGTCCAAAAAAACAGATCAGGACAAAGGCTGGACAATAGTAGTATACCAAAAAAGGAAAAAATCAAACTACCAACAACCTGCACACGTTAAAAGCAATTACTCGCACAATCAGAACACATTTAATACCCAAATAAATGACCAAGGCCAAAACATAACTTCACATGATCTTGTAGGTCCACCAATTCTCAATACCCAAGACAAAATCAAACAGCAAGAAGGCAAAAAAGACCCAAAAAATTCAACACTAAATTCCAAAGGAGGGGCAACAACCACGCCGCTGAATTTTGAGAGTACAAGCCACGTATAAAGTATGGTATCCAAGTTCTCCTTTAATGCTAAAATTAGTGCAAACGTGGACAAAAATAACCCCATCACAAACAAAAACAAAACAAACACATGTCCAAAAGAAAACTCCACATCCATACCCTGCAAACTACCAACCCCCGTCACTAAAGAGGAAATTTTCACAAAGATCGTAAAAATATGCCAGCAAAATCCCCCAATTCAGGGAACTAATAGTACACCTCAAACTGAATCAACCCCAGCCACCAAATCAAAACCAGAAAATGAAAATACCCTTGAGAAAGAACCAAATGATCATCCTTCTCCTAACCACTCCACAAATTATAATTCGTTAACCAAACCTTCCCCAAGCGTCAATTCTGCTACTACTAAGATCTCAATGATAGGAAACTTCACACGACATTCTACCAATGAAGTAGTACAAGGAAATCTGAAAGTACAGCCTAGTATAGATCCTGATAAATCATATCACCAAAATGATCTCTTTAAGAGACTACCACCAACATCACTTTCTCCCACAAAACTTTCTCAAATATTACTAAATATGTCTCAATTCAACAACCATCTTTACCTCCAATTGCGACAGAGTATCTAACAACGTCACAACCAAAGGCTGCCAACGAACAATCCACCCCTCCCCCATCAACTGATGGGAAACAATCCCACTTTTCAACCAGCCACACTTCTGAACCACCAACCACAGTACCAGACATCTTTTCCTTTCGAGCCATATCAACCACCAGAAATGACAAGCTACATCCCACGAAATTCTGTATTTTAGAACCTAACAAACCCACTCACACCCTTCAACCAGAACTACTAGACCATGAACACACACTTATAAGCGATCTTCTCGCATGTGGTCCAAGTATCACCTTACTCGAGTTAGGAAGGAATGTTAGACCTCAACCAGAACGAAAACAACTTCACTCCACTACCCTCCCTAATAAATGAGCGACTAACCAATAATCTGATAAGATTGGCATCGACTCAACTAGAGCTAGCCCAAGAACTAACCTCCACGAAATTCTATCACATACTTCACTTTCCTTCACCACTGTCCAATTTGAACTCCCACCATCTCTCACTTATTCACCAATTGAATACCTTCGTGAACTCGTCGCTACAACAGATAATAGATATGCAAAATCCAAGTCAACAGAACGAGGACAACATGAGCAACGAGGAAGATGAAAATATGAAAGACCAAGTAGTCCCAGGGATACAAATTAGGGTACCATCATTCCCTATGCAGACACCGCAGACACAACCATCGAAAGAAGAGGCACCAAACATGCTAGATCCATTGACCCAAACTCTGTACTGGAAGAATACACTGACACTAGACAAGTTATTAAGTATCGAAATGAGGTTTTTAATCAAAGTCCCTCGCGAACTGAACAAGGTGGACTTGAACATACGTTGTTACAACTCCTAGGAGCCACTGAAATACGTGGCACTACTCATTCCAATGATAATGGAAAAACAAGCTATTGAAATAGGGAATGCAAGCAGATCATCAATAACTATGAACCTGGAAAATACTCTAATGCCAGGAGGGAATCGCATCGTTCAGGAAACCCCATCAATGAAGATCTTACTATGGAACTATAGGGGTGCAAACAATGCTAATTTCATGAAGAACATGTGCACACTCATGGAATTCCACAACCCAACAATCCTTACTCTCACCGAAACAAGAATGGAGGATCATAATAAAATTTTACAGGCATTAGATTTCACTGATGTAATTCAGGTCCCAGCTTCGGCGTACTCTGGAGGGATTTCTTTGCTTTGGAGGAATTCGGAAATCACCATTGAACCTTTTGTTCTGACTAAACAAGAAATTCACGCCACTATTGAGGTTAGTACAAGCTTCTCTAAATGGTACATCTCTATAATTTATGCTAAGAATAATGTTAGATATATGAAGATATTATGGGAAAATTTGAGGAGTATAACTAACAAAATCAATGGACCTTGGCTAGTTTGTGGAGATTTTAACGAAATCACTAGTGCGTCCGAGAAGCTTGGGGGGAGACCTATAAACAACACTAAGAGCTCAAATTTCATCAGCTGCCTTGATGATATGGACATGATAGACTTAGATTTTACGGGGGAAAAATATACTTGGACATATAAGCATAAGAACAATAAAACTCTCATTATGGAACGCATCGATCGCTTACTGAGCAATCACTCTTGGTTAACTCTCTTCCTAGATACTAAAGTCTATCATCTCCCTCGTTTATACTCTTACTGCTGCCCTATACTCCTAAACTACCTAAAAAGCTCTGGACACTTAAAAAATTATTTAGATTCGAAACTATGTGGATTACGCATCCGGATTTCTCTAACATAGTAATTAGAGTGTGGAAAGATAATAACAATTATAATGATGCCCTCGAAAAGTTCCTCCAAAATATAAAAATTTAGAACAAAGAGACCTTTGGTAATATTTTTAAACAAAAAAAAGATATTCTCAACAGATTGAATGGGCTGCAGCAAATGAATGCAACAAATAAAAGGAATTTCCATCATAATCTGGAGAATAATCTCAGTATAGAGTTTAACGAAATTCTTAAAAGAAAAGAGGACTTTTGGAAGCTAAAATCTAGAGTCCAATGGCTTAGCGAGGGAGATGGAAACACTAAATTCTTCCATACCACCACTATAAATAGAAGATGTAGAAATCGAATTATTGGGCTAAATGACTCGGTGGGAAACTGGACATTCGATCCTACCTCCATAAATAACATTATTACCCAACATTTCCAAGTCATCTACACAACCGAGCTTACTAAGAGCAACTTCCATAAACCAAATATTTGTCAAAACGCTCTTCCAATGGATACTCGAGATTTTATTGGTACACCCCTTGATAAAGAAGAAATCAAAATTTTTATCTTCGGCTTTAAACCTCTTAAATCTCCTGGCCCTGATGGTTTACACCCTCTTTTCTTCCAAAAATATTGGAACGACACTAAAGAAGCCATAATCAATACTTGCATGAATGCTTTTAAATCCAGCTCCATTCCACCAGAGATAAATAAAACTTTCATCTGCCTCATACCAAAAATTAAAAATCCTGAGCAAATTAACCACTATAGGACAATAAGCCTCCGTAATACGAGTTACAAAATCATCACCAAAATTATAATTAATAGGATCAGACCATACCTAGATACTATAATAAGCCCTCAACAATGTAGTTTCATGCCTGGAAGAAGAGGAGTAGACAACGCCATAATCTTTCAAGAAGCAATCCACTCTTTCCAAAAAACGAAAGGAAAATTCGGCAAAATGCTTTTGAAAATCAATTTAGAAAAAGCTTTCGATAGATTAGAATGGTCATTTATCAAATAATCCCTTATGATCCTTAACTTCCCAAAAAACATAATTTACCTCATTTTGTCTTGTATATCCACTTCATCTATATCAATTTTTGTTAACGAAGGCCTACAAACTATTTCTACCCTACCAGAGGAATTAGGCAAGGTGACCCACTATCACCCTACATATTTATAATTTGTATGGAATCCTTAACCAGACTTATAAACTATGTCATTCAAGAGCATCCCTGGCAACCAATTAAAATTGGTAGAATAGGTATGTCTATATCTCACTGCTCTTCACTGATGACATTATTCTACTAGCAAAGGCTGACACCACAAACGCCACCACCATTATACAAATCTTCAATACGCTGGCAAAACAATTAGGAAAAAAAATTAATTTTAACAAATCGTCTATTATCTTCTCAGCCAACGTCAGCCTTGAAGAGAAGAACTAACTCTCTATGGCTATGAACATTCGCCAAAAAGAAAAGATAGGTAAATACCTTGGACTCCCCATAACAAAATATCATTCTAAGAGCACAGACTATCAATACATCATTGACCACATGAACAACAAGTTAAGAGGATGGAAAACTCGATTCATAACCTTAGCAGGAAGAACAACACTATTTAAATCAGTCCTAGCCTCTATTCCTACCTATGTAATGCAATGGAACTCAATCCCCCAAGCGACCCGTAGTCACATCGATCGCATACAAAGAAATTTTCTTTGGGGATCAACATAAGGGAAAACGAAAATGCATCTTGCAAACTGGGAACTAGTAACTTCCCCTATCGAAAATGGTGGCCTAGGAATCCAGAAAACTAATGGAAAAACTTTGCTTTGTTAGCAAGTCTTATCTAGTGATTCTTAAAAAATAATAATCACCTTTGGGCTGAGGTTCTCAAGAAAAAAATACTTAAATAGAAGTCAAATGACTAACTTGAAATGTTACCCCCAAGACTCTTATATATGGAAAAGTCTCGTAAGAGCCTACCCACTATTCCAAAAAAACATCTCTTGGAACATGGGTAATGGGGAAAAAATTCGCATTTGGGAAGACAACTGAATAGATACAACATACTCCCCACGTCAAATGATCCAAGGACCGACCACTGAAACTGAAGCCAAGACGGTCCTAAAAAACTGGATCAAGAATAACAACTGGGATTACTCTTGTTTATCCGTTGAAATCCCTAATAACGTCAAAATAACCATAGAAAACACTTATTTACAAATAGCAAGCTCCAAGCCTGACACCTTCTACTGGAACAAGAGCAATGATGGTTATTTTAACACAAAAAATGTCTACTTAGCATTTCTCAAAGCTAACTATGAAACTACCATAAAGACAAATTGTAATTATGTATGGGTGTGGAAGATAAAAGCTATCAATAAAATAATTTTTTTCATGTGGCTCCTCCTAACTCATAAGCTCCCTACTTCTGTTGCCCTTTACAACAGAAACATTACTACATCCAAAAATTGTGCATCCTGTCTTGACATGGAGGAGGACACAAATCATATTTTTTAAGCTGCCCGAATGCTAAACACATCTGGAAAAACTATATCATAAGTATCACCTCCCATGACCTCCATACAGAAATTCATCAACTGTGTACCACCAAAAGTTTCGTAACCATAAACAAGCACCACCGGGTGCCTACCGCTACTCTAGTTCCAATTATTCTTTGGAATATTTGGAAAAATAGAAATAGCAAACTTTATAAAAATTTAAATATTAGCATGTCTACAAATACTATTAATAACATTTCCTTCCAAGCCATGGAATACTTTCACTTAAACCAAATCCCTCCCAAAAAAGTCCCTAGACATATCCTGTTTCTTGGCACAAACCACCGGATGGAAAATACAAATTAAACATTGATGGCTCATATGAACCAAACTCCTCTAACGGTGGAACTGGAGGAGTAATTAGAGATCATCTAGGAACATGGATCGTGGGATTCACACGCAAAATCATAGCAAGAAATGCCCTACATGCAGAAGTTCTAGCCTTTGCTACATGGTCTGAATCTAGCCAAAAGTAAGAACTTAAAACATCTGCTGGTGGAAACGGATTTGCATGTATTACTTAACACTCTATATAGCAATAATCTCATATACTCACATATTTTCGCTGATTGCAGATCGCTACTCCTCCAACTAGAGAGTTCGTCCCTGAAGCACATTCCGAGGGAGGCTAATGCAGTAGCAGACCTACTAGCCAAATACGGAAGAGAAACGAAGGATCCATATATATGATCAACAATCAAACTTTGGTTTTTGAAGCATCTCCTTCACTAGCAATATATGCATTAGAAAGAGATGTGATTGGAACTGTAACACATCAACTAGTTCCACTTTTGTATGGTTGAACATATTATTATCT